ATTGTTTTATCTTTTCTCTTCTCGCCTCTGGTTGAAAAAAAATTAAAATGACAAAATGGAAAGCAATAACCCTAACTTTAGTTATCTGGAACCGAGAGAAAAATCTGCATTATGACGTTCGCCTACATGAAACAAATTTAAACGATTTTTTTTAAAATCACCGAATTTCAAGTTTACAATGAAAAATTCTATTTTGGAGGTTATATTATGTGCATGTATATTTAGGAAAAAAAAATAATCTTCTTTTGTTTTTGTAAATTTACTTGCTGATACATATTTATTTTTTTCTCTTCAAAATATTTTTCAGTCAAGGAAAATAATGCGCACCAAATTCTTGGAAGAACTTTGTTCAATTTTTTTTTTTGAAATAAATTAAATATTGTTTAATTTTTTTTTATTTTCTCACACTTTTATGATTTTTTATGTATAATTATTAATTTTCATCTTTACTTACCTGACACGGAGCACCTGCTCTCGATTCTTTCGTGGGTTAAGTCAAAGCTTGGCCGGATTAAAAAAAAAAAAACTAGTCTAGGTCAATCACATACTATTTACCATTACAAAAAATTAAGACGGATTACCCTATTGACCTAATGGCTAATGCACATTGCATTAGTTAGATTATATTCATCATTGATTAAATTTTAAAAAGACATTGAAATAAAGTATACGTAAATATTCGAATATAATAACATTACAAATGATTTCACAACCATTTTTATTCATGCCTAATATAAGATAGGCAGGCATATAATTTTTCATCTGTCGACCGTCTGCCTGTCCGTTGTCCGCAAAACTTAATCCTTACATGTACCTATATCGATCTTTTGATTGGTTAAAGAGTATTTCCGAGTATACTTTTTGACCCTGGATTTTGAACCCCACCCACTCTTTTTGCCATACATTTTGAGCGGTTGAAGTTAAATGTTGGTCTTTCATATTACGCATCTTTTTGAGGCCTTCCTTTGGGTACCAACATTTGTGATCTTTTGACCTTGTCCTTAGAGGTTGACCTATCTTTTAAAAACATTAACCTTGACCATACTCGTAACCTTTGAATGGTTGGAGCTTAAGTTTTCATATTCTTGTGGAGGGACCTTTCCTCCACGAACAATGATCGTTTTTATCGTGACTGCTCATATCTCACTGAAACCGTTTTTAAAAATACAAAGAAAAGGTTTACAAGAATATATACAGTGAAAGCATTTTTACACGTTTTTACGCTTGGGATGAAATATTATACATTTATTGACCGAATCCAAGGGCAACATGCGTTTTGTCGGACCCGAGAACCAAACTGTCTGTCTGAGGCCGTAAGCATTTTGCCTGTTTTATTATACCTCAAATCTTTATTATATCCAAATTTTATTTCATATTTCACTTAATACTAAAGCATACTTAATGTAAAATCTCTATAATTTACACAAATCTCACAAAAACTGAAATTATTTGCCTATGAAAAAGTATACACAGACTTAAAGGAACAAAAACGATCATTTTTTCGTACTTTAATAAAATTTTTCAATATGAGTGGGTCTTCGCTCCATTTTTTGAAAGATAATCCTAAAAGTTTGCGATAAAATAAACATTTTTTGGTTTACTAAATAATGGAGTGAAGACCCACTCTACCTTAAAAGTACACTTTTATGACAAAACATTCGCATCTTTCCGAGAAATACTTTAAGTCCATTAAGTCAAGGGTCATATCACAAACGTGATTTTTATGCCCACTATGAGCTGTGTAGCCTAGTGGTTAGCCCGTTCGTCTCAAAGCAGTATGACACTTCGGATTTTTATTGATGAGGTTCGAATCCCACGTATACTATCTAAAATTTTTATAAATTAGGGAATAACTAAATAATCTTATAATTTGGTATTTGCGACCGTTAATCTGATTTAACGGTCGCAAACTGAGTTTTACCGGCGACGCGTAAGCGGAACCGGTAAAACGGATGTTTGCGACCGTTAAATCAGCATTAACGGTCACAAATACCAAATTAGAAGATTAGTTATTCCCATTCTAATGCAATAAATGCATTTTGTTTGTTGTTTACGTCTTATTTTGTTGAATTTTGTTACATGAAATACGTCACGGAGCATTGTGTTTTTGCATCGCTCTAATTATGACGTCACAATGAAAAAGCTTTCACGCTCGTTAATGCTCGTTTTACTGCTTCAAACATCAGTGCATTATCCAATCAAAACGTGTTTTACAAAACAATTGCATTAGAATGAAATTTTTATTACGAGATTTATTTTCTCTCAGAAAATGTTTTTTTCTTCTCATAATTTCATAAATTTCAAGAATGAGAAGTCAATTTAAATACTCAATTCACATATTAAATGTGATTTTTTAATATCTGATGCTATAGGCATTCTGCCCGCCTTATCCCCCCATCTTCATTTTTTGGTTATACATGTATTTTGTAAGTTGTCTTCCGTTGTTTAACCTCAGGCCCTTCAATGTTGAACACCAACTAAAGTACATATACGAGTTCCATTTTTATTGAAAAAGCAGCTGTCAATGATATCAAAAAGCCCGGACTTTAATTTATCGTGGGAAATGATAGTTGAAAAGTCGTAAGTTTTAAGCTGTTGATTTTGGTAAAATCTTGTGATTTCAAATTTTCAAAAAGTTCCTCGGAATTTTTCAGTATCCACATCTGATTTACACAACTTCTTGAATATGTTGTTGAACAGTACTCTTGCAATTTCTCCTTAATAATATCTTAGTGAGGAGTAAAGAAAGAGGCTTGGTTGAACATGTTCTGGAACTCGCTATGTATCTTTGTTTGTTGTATGTTTGTAAAGATTTTTACGAAGTTTCAAAATAGATCCAATGTAACTCAAATTCATTTTGGTTGTTTATATTAAAAATATTCAAAACTGGCAAATGATTTTGAAGAATTTCTTCCTTAGAAGGGGAACTATAAGTATAAGTTGGATTACCACTGGTAGAATTAAATCCAAGTTCTTCTAAAATACAATTTATATAATGTGCCTTACAAACGAAGACAATTTTGTTACATGTACCTGCTTTGTCAGCAGGGACCATTACATACTGATTATGTAATCCAATTCTTTTTTCACTTCCTGGATCATGGGATATAGGATAGATGATTTTCATATGTATTGTCTCTCAATCTTTCAAAATAAAAAGATATTTTCAACACAGTTTATTACGTTGCAGTTGGCCTCCTGGAAAACTCCCTTGCCTATTGGCTATATAAACCCCGAATTACATGTTAACATTAAACGTAGGATTATTACACTAAAAGTGTCTGGTATCAAAAAGACCTTAACGTGAGCAGGGGGGGGGTGTCCGAAATAGGTTTTTTTTGGGGGGGGGGGTTACTTGTCAAGGTTGGATTTTTTAATGATTGGGTGAACACATCCCCCCTCCCTCCCCAGAAAATGTTCCTGGATCTGTGCCTGATTAAAAACAATGATAAAATATTATAAAACATTGTACATTTATACTGTTTCAGACACTTTCTGTCTCTCTGATTCTAGAGAATTTTCATTATCTGTACTATATCAAATGAAAAGCTATGAAGAGAGAAGATACAAATTAAGTGTCCATTACATGTACCCAAACATTTTTAATGTCAAGTTGAATTAAAGGTGACTTTAGGAATGAAAACAATTTTATAAGAAGTTTTAAATTTGAAAAATTCATAGATGACAACATATCTATATGATAAATACCATTAACTTTCAAATTAACAATCTCACACTAAGCTTTTGTTGGGATGAGAAAAATAGTTGAAACACTTCAGTATGTTTGACATTTTTAAAACATAGGTAATCAGAGATTACAGAGCTCACCTCAACGAATCTTGTCTTTAAGTAAGGCAAAGTCACACAATTAACCAACAAAAATATATATCTAAAAATGCAATATTTATGCAATTTTGATCTGATATTTTGGAATAGACCTATATAAAAACTTCAAACTAGTTCTTCATCATGAAAACATAATTAAAATCCAGCATCTGAAGCAAGTCTGGGAGTTTTCATCCCTTGATGCATCATTTGTGCAAGTTTGGTTTATATAAGCCTTATAGTTTCTTGGTAATAGACCTGCACCCATAACTTTTACCAGGTCCATTATCTGGAAAATGTATGTCGAATTCAGCATCTGAAGCAAGTTCATTAGGGTGCATCCTAAGATGTATCATCCATGCAAGTTTGCTAAACATGAGGCTCATAGTTACTTGGAAATGAAACCTGTATAAAAACTAACCATTTCACTAATCCAGAAAATGTAGGTCAGATTCAGCATCCAAAGCCAGCCTGGTAGAATGCACCCTTAGATGTATAATCCATGCGAGTTTGGTTATTAAAGAGCTCAAAGTTACTTAGAAATGAATCCTGCACCAAAAACTTTAATGTAGGTCAGATTCAGCATCCGAAGCAAGTCTGGTAGTATGCATCCTTAGATGTATCATCCATGCAAGTTTGGTCATTATAGTGCACTTGGAAATGAGACCTGCACCAAAAACATTAACCTGTTCACTCATGCAGAAAATGTAGGTCAGATTCAGCATTTAAAGCAAGCCTAGTTGTGTGCATCCCTAGATGTATCATCCATGCAAGTTTGGTCAACATAGGGCTTATAGTTACTCGGAAATGAGACCTGCACCAAAAACATTAACCTGTTCCCTCATGCAGAAAATGTAGATCAGATTCAGCATTTGAAGCAAGCCTGGTAGTGTGCATCCCTAGATGTATCATCCATGCAAGTTTGGTCAACATAGGGCTTATAGTTACTCGGAAATGAGACCTACACCAAAAACTGCACCAAAAATGTTAACCTGCACCAAAAACCTTAACTTGGTCATTCTTTCGCTGAAATTGCAGCATCTGAAACTTTGACTGGCACAGTGAAACACACTAGAAACATCTTCCATGCATCTATAATCAATACAGGACATAGAAGTACCTAAAAAGAAAACTGCTCCAAAAAACTTAACCTTAACATGGGACGCCGACGCCGAGGGTATTACATAAGCTCCCCCAACTTCGTTGAGGTGAGCTAAATATATTGAGTCATTTACAATGACTTTCACTGGGTTGATTTATTCATAATTCACAGTTATGAAAAATATTTGAAAACTGCAATAACATCCACATAAAATCATAAAACTTAAAACTGTTCAAAGTTATGCTTGCATTTGAAAATTGTACATCAATATAAATATAATGTCTCAATTTATTTGTCTTAGCAGTTTAAAATCTTGACCAGGATACTGAACACAGTAACAAGGAAGAACCAAAAAAATATTACTGTTAGCAATTCTTGCTAGTTCTTTAACTTGACTCTCTCTTTGTGAACTTTAAATTTGGGGTTCTTGTTGACTTTTTTCGTGAATTTGGCCAAAATTCTCTCTTCTGATCCTGGCTCCCCTCTCACTGAGGCATATTCAGCTAGAACCTGTAACAAATAACAGAAAGTCCAGGTGAAAGAGACTTGCTGAAAAGTCTGAACCAAAAACTTGTTGTAAAAGACTGGGTCAGAGTAAAAGACTAAACCAAAAATCTGCAGCTGGATCTTTTTGTCTTATGTACAGATTCCTGGAAAAGAACCAAAGACTTGTGGTCAGATTCTGTTCTAAATACTTCATGTTATAAGTCAGTCCCAAAATTCTGAACCAATGACTTAATTGCTGTAAAAATCGTTCCTTTATAAGCAAATGCCAAAGGCATAAATTGCTACATCTCATTTGGTTGAAAAAAAACGCTGACATCTGGTCTAGGTAAAACAAAAAAATATATAACTGAGCAAAAATGCTGAAACAAAAATTTTAATGAGAAATGAACTTATTATTATGTATATCCTTCAAGGTTTCATGAAGTCAGCACAGCCTTGTTCATGTAACAATGACACAATGTCTGTTCAAAATTAATTTTTTAATAAAACATTGTATAGCTAATTTCCAGTGTGCCTGCTGTCACTTCATTAGTAGAGGTGTCTGCTGCAGGCATATTATGTTAACAAGATATGAAATTCTTAAGAGAGGTCATTGAAAGTGTCACATGTACTAAAAAGTATATAGAATCCTTTGGTTCACCGATTTATCTCTAAGAAAAATGAAAAAAATTTACCATGTGAACAACACCATGATCTACATTTTAGTTGGCACAATCTGGGAATCCAAGATATATCAACTGACAAAGTTTATTGATTCTAAGCCCCTTATCATCTAAAATTTTCATACCTAGTCATAAAATGCCAAAAATAGGTCACAGTGCCCATAAAACATACACAGTAATATATCCCATGATATATAAACTGACAAATCTTGATGATTCTAAGCCTCTTATTATTTGAAAGATTTAGATATTGCCTTTATTCCACAGTGACCTACTTTTTTGCTGACACAATTTGAGGACTTGAGATGCATAAAGTGACAACAGTGAATGGTTCTAAGCCAATATGTCCATGATATTCAAAAAGTAGATCATGGTGAACTACTTTTAGTTTAAGTACTTCAAGGATCTTAGCTTCGAAATTGCTCAGTTTTAACAATACATGTTTTCTTTTTTTTTTTTCAGTTTTGAAGCGACATTGTTAAAATTGACAAAACATCAATTTTGCTTTATGAAGTTGTTTTTTCCTACCTTTTTCCTTAATTTTTTGAGTGGAATTTCTCCTTTTTTCTTTAAGACTTCAGTTATAACTTCCTCCCAATCAAATTTGGCCTTTACTCTACTGCCCTTCTCATCCATATTTTCCTGATTGACCTCTTCTTCTTCCATTTGCTTGTCTGTTTATTGTAAATTGAAAATTGAAAAAGAAGACCACGTTATTAATGTAAATAAATTGATATAATATACTAGTAAACTAAAAAGAAACATCATATATCTACCATCTGTATGACCCTTAAACGTTTATGAACAGTGCACATTTATAATTAAAAACATCTACGTTACAGTATGCAGGGATTATCCAAAGCATTTTTAAACAAGTACCCTGACTGGGATCCTGCGTTAAGGTACTATCCTCCAGTTCTCCATTGGTCATCCCCTCCTCACATCCTTCCTTCTTCCTCTTCTTCTTTTTCTTTGGCTTCTCCTCCCCCTCCTCTTTGACCTCACCATTTTCCTCTGCTTTCCTCTTCCTCTTCCTTTCCTCTTTCCTCTCCTTCTTCATTTCTTCTTTCTTTTCTTTCTTTGTCTGATCTTTCTGACCTGTTTCTGTCTCAGCTTTCGACTGTGGTTCATGGTTTCCATTCATAGATTTAGCTTCTGAAGATTTTGCCTCAGTTGTCTTGGTCTGAAGAAATGTATAAGAGGGTTATTTCAAAATCTAAGTCATAATCATTATGGAAATTCCCCTGTGTGGTGCAGTGGATAGAATGTCTTCTCTAGATTTGCGAAGTAAGGAAATAATAATTACGATGCGGGTTCAAATCCCACTGTGGGATGTGGAGACTGGTGCTTCAAAAGACTTAGAGACTGCATAAAATTACTTTTAATGAGGTCCCTGAGGTGCTGGCATGAAAAAAATCCCTACCAATGGCTTTGAGTGCCGAGTATAGTACAAAATTTGCAGCTCTCCACCGGAAAGTAGTGGCGTCTCCATATGAGTGAAAAATTCTCAAGAGGGACGTTAAACAACAAGCAAACAATTAAAAATTATAAGAAATGGAACATCAGTAAAGAATCTTAAATTGTATATTTTATGGGTCTTTGTAAGAATACTTCACTCAGAGCCACTTTTGAAAGTTTAATCAAAACTTTCTTGATACAGAGTTCTTTTAATACTGTAAGTATCACTATGGTGATAATTAAGGTCAAACTGACTTATCCACAAGTTTGGCTCAGCTTATAATCTCACCCGTACAATCTCACCCGTTAGTATACGTACTAAATTTGACTAAGTTTTGGTTGTACACCCACTTCTTTAGTTTCACTAACCTGCTCTGCATGTTTCATTATAAGGTTCCAGGCTTCGTCTACTAATGATTCCTTCTTTACTCTCAGTGAATTCTTCAGGAAATTCTGTGGAAAATAATATTTAACAAATAATCGTCCTATCAATATTTAGAATGTCAAATTTGCAACTATATTATCCTTTTAGAATTAATTTGATATTTTCAAACATAAGGAAATTTTCAAGTGAAACGTATGGAAAAAATATTACATTATATAATTAAAATGACTGATTAACTGTATATTGTTTTACATTCCATTTGAGAATTTTTCACTTATATAGAGACACCAACATACACCACAAAGGGTTTCAAATTTAGACCGATTTTTAGCACTCTTGGGGATTGTCTACCTTGACCAGATCCTCTTTTTTATGTGTAGGACATTTTCAACATTTACCTTAAATTTGGCCTGTTTGCGAGGGATGTTCGGATAGTCTTTAATCTGGTGTAACAGATGTAGTACATTCTTGTCAGATTGGGCACTATCTATGGCAGCCTGTACTTGCTGAAAGTCAAGACATGTACGTGATAAATAAAAGACATACAAGTATGGGATATTCTAAGGATATTTCTGCATTTCAGAAATGCTCCTCTCTACTGAAAATGGGATTATAGCAAGTAGGACTTACATACAATGTGAATACGGCTTGATAAACATGCAAAGAAAAAAGTTTGCATGAATACTTAATCTAAAGAGGTAACTATAGCTAGGTGTTACATTTTATGATTAAAAAAGAAAAAAATTCTGTTTAATAACATGACATACATGCACATACATTCATAATTTTTCTTCAATTTGCTATAAAACTTTTATTTAAATACAGTACCAGGGTTTGACACTAACGCTAGCCCGCTGGCCCGGGACAACTGCATACTGAGGTCTGGCTACCAAACATGTCTTTAAACTTGCCCTGCAGGGCTACAGTAAATTTTACCAATTACTCACTAAGAGCAAGAAAAATAATTATAATTTACACACAATATACCTGATAATTGTTAAATTTATTTTCAAACATGTTTTATCATCATAATTCTTATTTTTGTAAGTCAAAATTTAAACTTTAAAGGTGATTCGAAATACCCTAAATGATTATAAATATGGAATTTTTCGAATAGAAAAAGTGTCTTAGGTACAATCATAGCGTGACATATAATTTTTACCCAAAATACAGCCAGAATGCAGAATTTTGCATCCCTATTTTCAAAATTTCCCGGGGGAGGCCCCCGTACCCCTACCAGCAGGAGGGGGAAACCCCCTCCCACACCTACCCCCCTCATCGCTTCGCGACTCGGCCACCAGCCTTCGGCTGCTGGACAAGTAATACATGAACAGGGCTAGTAGAAATTAGAAATGGCTAGCCCTGCTGACAACTATGGTTTTAAAGTTAGTGTCTATCCTGAGTACTAAACATTTTTTACTAATATTCTTCATGTATACAGACCAAGATAAAGGGTTTTCAATAAGGAGAGACTGGAGGCAATTGTCCCTCTTTTTTAATGATAAAAATACATCTCTTCAAATATTTTAATTGGCAAAATAAATTATGGAAATGCTTTAAAAACAGCCTATTCTAAAGGGTAAATTCATCTCCTCTCTACAGTCACAGTGATTGGGAAGGCCAAAGTGGTCAATGGGACTATGGCGCAACTGTCAACATTTTTGATGGGCCATTTCGAAAATAAATGGGCCATCAATATAATCTGAAGGGCCATTTTAAGAAATAACAAAGTGACAAAAAAATATGAAATACGAGAGAAAACACGTTTTTAATTAACCGAATCCGACTTTTAACGCATGAAATGCAGCAAATTTAAAGGCACTTGCTTAGAATATAACTGACCTGTATTTTGTGTTAAAATTACGACAGTTTTGGAAAGGGCACAGCCCTACCATACAAATGAATGAGGTATTGTACCTCATGTAAGTGCTTCGTTTAACCGGAAGTACTTTTTGACAGGTTTCAACCAATGAGATTTGTTGTTTTAAATTGACTGCATTTAAAACGAAAGTAAAACAAGAAAGAAAGTCGTACGCAAAATATTTCCAAATAACATCGCTAAAAATTGAATGCGCACCTTGGCGCCATGACTGATTGATTTAATGCGCCATTTTTCACTCCAATGCGACTATGGCGCGTGGCGCAAGCCCTTCCCAATCACTGCAGTCACAATTATTCAAAGCCCTGGAGATAATGATATTGTTCCGGAATTACCTCTAGCCACTGATTCTGTTTCTGTTCCCCTTTGTTGGCCCCTGCTTTTGGTACATAGTTTTTCCCAGAGTACTTCTCTTCTTCAGATATACATTTTGTGTGTTTATCGTATTCTTGCCCCCTGAAATTTCAAAACAGAAATTTATTTTTAGTGATACTTAGAAATATGGAAATACATATGTAGATGGTAATAGATTCTCAACTGAATTTGTACAAAAATTCTTAAAAACTGCAATTTATTTGATTTTTGTTTTCTCTCCTTTTAAAGACAAACAATATGAAACGTTCACTGAAAGTATAATATAACCATATTGAACAACTAGGAAACTTCCACCAATTTGGTCAAAGGGAAATAACTCAAAATGTATTGTGTTTGAAATGTTACATATTATCCAGTATTATTATAAAATTCTCAATAATTTCTGAATGACACATGAGGGAAATATTACTCTGTCAGACTTCAATTAAAAAAATTTTAAAAGATTGATTCTCACCATGAAAACTTGATCAGGAGGAGTAAATTATTGTACTTGAGAGGTGTTTACTCTTTTCCTCATTTTTCACACAGGAAACAAACATACTGAAGGTATGTGGCCCCACCCTACCCCCCGGGGTTTAGCTGCAGATCTGTAGCGTTATGGTTTTATATATTTGTCTTTGACCATAACGCTACAGATCCCGTAGTGCAAAAAAAGTGCAATTTACGGCGCAATATTTTTTGCGCTCTTTTTGGGAGAATTTCTCCACTTTCTAGCTTTGGTCAATCAACTACCTTTCACTCCCTAATTCTAGACACATTTTGTAGCCAATATTATAGTTTATCCACCTCCCAACCATTTATAGTTGTCTCTACAGGCAATAAACTCGCTTGATATGAATTTTCAGTAATCTAACAAATAATTTTAATCAAGCGAGTTTATCACTTGTAGAGACGACTATGAAGGGTTGGGAGATGGATAAAATATACAGATTAATTAAATAATGTGTCTAGAATTAGGGATTAAAAGGTAGTTGATTGAACGATGCTGGAAAGTGGAGAAATTCTCCCCAAAAGAGCGCAAAAAATATTGCGCCATAAATTGCACCTTTTTTGCACTACGGGATCTGTAGCGTTATGGTCAAAGACAAATATATAAAACCATAATGCTACAGATCTGCAGCTACTCGGGGTTATGATTTGAACAAACTTGAGAATCTGCACTACCTGAGGATGCTTCCCAGGGCTGGGACGATTCAACTTTTTTCAATATAAATATGTCACAATATTTGCAATTGGCAATCCTCGGCTGACTCCACTATGCTCCATTCGAAATGTGTCGAGAGGTACATGTACGAGCCACCCGAAGAGCTCCGAGTGTGATATTTGAGCCATGATATCTCATGATATGTATCACGATATGTTTAATTGGTTATAAAATCTTTTTTTGCATTGAAATAAACAAAATATTTCTTTGTATATATATAAAAATAATTTCTATATTTTCAGTCTTGGCAAATCTTGCAAGGATTTATAACATGTAAATATATTGTAAGACATTTAATAAATCACCAAAAAACAAAATTATATGAATCACCCTTGTAATTTTTTTTATGTACACATAAACTGATCATACCAGAATTCCTTGCTACAGTCAATACAGGACAATGACTTGGCTTGACGACATTTTGTTGTGTAATGCTTTTCCACTTGGTTTTTCTTTAGTGAATCACCACAAGCATTGCAAGAAAAGAACACCATCTGTATTAAAAAAAAGATAATAAGGTAATGGTCTTGAAAAATACAACACATTGAACTGAATCATATGTATGTATTTATATAGTATTTTATGAGTACAATACATAATTTGCTACACCAATTGTTTGTATTCTAGTTGTGTTCTACTGTATTTTCATGCTTATCACTATGTTTTCCAGGCGCGGATCCAGGATTTGGAGTTAGGGGGGGCGCCAAAATTAGGCAAGGGGTCTGGGGGCCGCCTTGAGGCCCCCAGTGGGTCCAGGGCAAAGCCCTGGTGGGGGCCCAGGGGGCAAAGCCCCCGTAAGCTCCTGGATTCTAGAGATTTTGAAGGGTTAAAATGAGGTCTACCAAAGCCCTGGTGGGGGCCTACAGTGTAGGGGGCGAAGCCCCCGGAAGCTCCTGGATTCTAGAGATTTTGAAGGGTAAAAATGAGTTCTACCAAGTAGACATATTTGATTTACGCTAAGTTTGACAATTTTAGGGGGGGCGCGCGCCGGGTGCGCCCCCCCTTAAATCCGCCACTGTTTTCTATGGGCCTTTACCAATTACTGTAATTGTGTTGGTGCCAATAAAATATTTGTATTATTTGCATAAAAATAACTAGTTTTAGAGTCAAATCTGAAAATAATACGATGATAATACAATAGTACTTGTTTGAAAACAGTTCAAAACATGTAAATTTATAGATGCTGTACAAGTATAACAATTTTTTAAAATCCACGTTGACTAAGTTCACACATTTTAATACATCAAATAGGCCTACATATGAATATTAGGCTTAGCGCATGTCTTTGAGCAATCTTCCTTTCAAAATTTCTGACTAAAATGGTTATTAAAGATTGTTTAATAAAAGTTTCCTTTCATTATTGCAAAAGAGAAACGTCAAATCTTGCCTTACATCGATTTAAAAAATCTACAAACATGTGGCGGAAAACAACAAATAAAAGTAAAATGAAAACTTGTCTTACGCACACTTTTTAATTCCGTGTAAATGTTCGTGATGAAAAACCGCGCATTAGGCCCATAAATACATATTATATATGGATAAATTTTTCATTAAAAAATGTATGTCAGTGATTGATTAATTTTTATCAAGCCTTTTTTGTTTTTGTCTTTTGTTTTTTTGTTTTTGTTTTTGTTTGTTTGTTTGGTTTTTTTAAGGGAGGATGGGGGGGGGGGGGTCTCCTATGTTTCTGCTATTTTAATAATAATTATAAATAAATTGACTGAAGAATAGTAGTGTATCTTATATAAGCATTCATTGTATTCGTGCCAATTTTTTAACTCTATTTTCCAATAAAAAAAAAAGTTTGCATGCAATAACTTTGGAGGAACTGAACATTCTAAAATAAACAAATTAATAAAACCTTATACATACATGTATCATATGTATATTTTTTAAGGGGAGGGGGTCGGGGTATTTCGCCAACCGGCCTTAGAAGTCAATAATATGTCGTGAAACGTGTACACAAACGGCATATCGACATCCTATACCGTGAACACGTTAAGATTGAATTTGAAGAAATTGTTTTTTTTATAGGTCCCTTCTTTAACATGCATTGCTGTGATGTTAGCTGCAATAATGTAGCCCCTCTCCCCCCCTTTTTTTTTGGGGGGGGGGAGAGGCCTCTCCAGAAATCATCAGATAAAAAAAAATCGGAGAGGGCTACATTATTGCAGCTACTGTGATGTCATTCCTTTGTTATTGCAGTCTAAAAATGTAGCTTGAAGAGGACGCTTTTGCGAGACTGAGACAACCTTGTAACAATTTTATAAAGTCCACATTTTGATATTTCTTTTTTGATTTTATGTATCTAATCTTTAACAGAATGATTTTAATTTTCCCAGAAGCATGATCGACAATTGATAAACTAGGTTTATCGACTGTAAACTATAGTTTACAAACAGTAAACTATAGTTAACGATTCGTTAAGTATAGTTTTCATCTGTAAAACTATATTTAACGGTTGTTAACTATAGTTTACGAATGTTAATTTAAGTTTATCTGTCTGTAATAAAGCGTTAACAATAGATTTTGTTGATAAACATAGATTCACGTTTGTAAACTATAGTTTACAATCGTAAACTATAGTTAAGAGTTGTTAATCATAGTTTCACAAATTGTGAAACTATATTTATCAGATCGTTAACTATAGTTAACGGTTTGTAAACTATAGTTTACAAATCGTGAAACTGTATTTATCAGATAATCTATGTTTTGCAATCGCAAATGATTGTTTTCGGTGTTAAGTATAGTTTACGGTTGTGAAACAGATTATCGCGTTAACTATGGTTTACAGATGTGAAATATAGATTAACGTTGTTAACTATAGTTTACGGTTTGTAAACTATAGTTTACAACCGATAAACCTAGTTTATCGATTGTGAAACTATGATTATCTCATTTTTGTGAATTTGGCGTGCCATATATATATTTTTAAAAGAAATTTCTCTGTCTCTTTTTGACACCAGCTAAGAAAAATTACTTTGCTTCTTTAAAGAACTGTTGAAACTTGTATCATAAGATGTTATAAGTAAACATAAGAATAAGCTGAATACACGTTAAGCCAAACAACTAGACAGACGGATGGACAGAACGAAACTATATACCTCCGAATAAATATTCGATTACGGGAACATATAGAGAATGCACGTATCCAGTCATTCAGAGAAATTTGCATAAAATAATTTTATTCAATACTTTATTTTAATTTTTACATTGTGTAAAACATATGCTATCTTTTGATGTCTTCACGTGCCATCTATTTTTATAATATCATACTACCAGATAACACGCATTGGTATCTAAGGGTATAGATTAATTATGGACATTTTTAGAATTTTACTTCTCTAAAAGTGTATTTTCTGTAAAAATGTTGTATTTTGTTCTTTTATATGCGTAATTTCTTTTAATTTTAATTTCTAAGACATCAACGAACATTTCAGTCATATTTACTGGCATAAATGAAAAATGTTGCACAAAAAGATTTTGAAAAATTATATCATAAAACTTAGAGTTATCTTTCCTGGCCGAGGAGCGAATATCCTTAAACTAGCTGAATTGATATATATATGAGGGCCCTGGTAATGTATAATGATCCAAACCATTGATTGGTTAAAAGTGTAATTTATCTATGACCAGCCAAATTATCGAAGGTGACACAAAATGCAAACGTAAGTTTTAATAATTCCTGAACAATACTGCTTAATGACACGTAAAGCAACTGCGCATTGATACCTGCGTAAGCATCCGATCATATATATGATAATAACACCCTCTGGGTACCTTGTTTGACATATGTTACATACTGTTTGCCTTTTTCGTACACTTCCTTAAATAACAGTCTCCGGACTTTATTGAATTCTATATTTACTGGAAATCGATGAAAATGACAAATTTCTAAATTTTCAAAATTCGGTTTTGGTGATTTTTTGGATTTAAAAAAGTGGCCAGGTTGGACCCAAGATAAATACTAACGTTCAGCCAAAGATGTACCTTTGTGGTTGACATATAGGTGTGGGGAAAATGGTGAGGTAAGCATTAATTTCTCTATTCTGACCTTTATACATGACCCTTTATACAAGTTCGTGTAAATGGTGGATTTTTCAAAGCTTTGTTTGACATTCATACTTTGAAATTAAAAAAGAAATGCTTTTTATTTTATTTTATTTATATATTTTTGTAAAGTACTTGCGATAGCTTTTCTTACATCGTAGCCGATACTCATTAATGTTGTAGATGCAGAAATATCATAAGTAGATAAAATTATTTTAAAAAAAAAAGAACATATGCTCTCCAACAACATTTCTCAACTTAAAGTCTATCATCTGACTTTGGACGATTCTGTTTTATTCTACTCTTTTTCTTTTTAATTGTGTGGTAGCGGACATGTGGAAGACAGATGAGATATTCCATACGTGTATAATTAAAGGCATAAAGCGGGTAGAGCTACCTTAATAGGGGCGGGGATGGGGGTTACCAATAAATAACAAATCCAACACAGTATTACTATGTGCATATGCACTAACTGAAAAAATTTAATTTTAATGGAGCAAGTTTTGATTTCACCATATACTCTTTCATTATTAAACATTCAAGTTAATTTTGTAATTATGTATACAAGTATGCCCCCTTCCATCATGAAAAACTTTTTTTTTTCCTTTTTTTTTTTTTTACATTTGAGTCTCAAGATTTTTTATAATATACCAGGTGATAGTAAATACATAATTTACAAAGTAACAGAATCATTGCAGGAAGAAGAATATTGTTCTTTTGTTTTGGTACATCTTGTTTGTGGGGGCGGAATTCTGTCGGGCACAGACAAAGTTGCTGACCTACAATGCTGCACTTTTGGGGAGTATTCCGAATAAAGAGGAGCGTGGTGACTATATAGCGACTAACATCGGACACACGGACCCAGACATCATCTGTTTACAAGAGGTGATATAAGAATTAAAGGGGTTCTGTCTAGTATCATTGAAAATTCCTGGGGAATACATTTTCATGCCGTTTGTCTATAACTGTAGGAAGGGTTGCGTTTTCAAAAAATTTTACAAAACACAATCAGACTACAATACCATTATGCACAATAGTGTATAACACGTTTTGTTTTCAGTGAATGTCGTTGCCATGGTTACTAAAAATAGACATTTCTTAGAAATATTTTCAATATACTACTCCTCCTACATTTTTGGTTTGATTTCAATATTACTCGGTACACAAGTAGACTACTCTAAGATACATAATTCTTTTTATTGCTGCCTGTTGTAAGGTTCCAAATCTAATTAGATTGTGCTTCTTTTCTTTTGTTATACGTACAGACCAGTAGAGCTAAAGTCTCATCGAAGACTTCTGGCCACTTATTAGGGTTTCATAGTTATTGGACAAGGAAAAAAATGAAGTAAATTCCTTAGGATTTTATATCCTAGTATTTCAGTGATGCATACAATTTAAATGTATATACACTGTATCAAATATGCAACATTATTTTAATTTTTTGTAATTTAAGGAAGCTCTAAACACTGCACAATAAAGAGCTACACTTATGGGTAGTTTTATGCAGTTAGAGTGATCTGCCCTTAGAAGTTAGATTATTCAAATTGTTACACTTAATTACACATTTTTGAAAAGATTTATAAAACATTTTTAACATTATATAAGACCAAAAATAAGTTAATGAATTCAATATGTTCTTTAATTTTCCCAGTGTAAGTAAACAGCAGTGAATTCTGCTCACAAATAGACAACTGTCTTTGAACATTTTTCCTGCTGAAATAAGGCACGTACCCTATGTTATAAAAAGTCTCAATATGCACACCTTTATATGATATATTTTTCTTTAAGTCCAAAAAGCAGTTTCTGTTCGTGTTTAGAGCTTCGTTAAACATTGAGGTACGTCTTAACATATACTTCAATCCTTTCTTTTTGTCAGGTCTGGCTGAAGAGGGATGTAGAATTGCTGACATCGACCAACCAGCACCGATATCCTTATTTCTATAGCGCAGTCGATACGGAATCGTCCTCCAAGCCTCCCTGTGCCAACATCTCACTCATTAGTGTATTTTTTAAAATATTAGCAAATGGTAAGTCCTCTATAATATTGTGAATTTTTACTTGATGGTGGTAAAGAATAGGAAATGCTACATGTAAATTTTGCACACATTTCTACCTAATAAATTCAAAAATAATTTAATATTACTACTGATAAGTAAGACCAACTCTAACTACTTACATGGACTCCATGGAAGGACGTTTTTACCGACTTTTAATTCTAAGACAAAGTTATTCAAAAAGTATTTCTTATTAAATGAAAATGTTTATAAAAATCCTTACATCCAATACCTACGTATGATTTTTGATGAAAAACACAGCTATATTTTTTAAATCTCTTTTTTTTTGAAAGGGGGATTAGAGGCATAATATCTAGCTGTGTTTGTTGTATAATAAGAACAAAGGATAAATGACTTATGTACACGACTGTGTATATTGCACCATTAAAATGTCAAAATTCCTTGAAAAAATCATTTCATTAAAAGTCAGCATTTTGTAAATTCTATGACCAAATAACGAAATACTACCTATCATTTGCGTCGAATTTTGTCTGACATATTTCATTCCATTTGTTAGATCATCATCATTTTTATAAGAAATTTAATTGACATCGAGGAATTAATCTGTCTCTCTGAACAAAACAAGGCTAATCAATAGGGGATGCTTCTACATGCTAGATACCTGATCCTACCTATTTTATGATTATGAGTAATTTATGATTTGTTCACTGATGATTATCGTTTGTTGGTGTTTTGTTTTTCTTTTTTCTTGAAGGTCGACTATTACCATAATATTGCTCTCATCAATTGGATACCAATTCATTTGATGTACACATCATGAGAACAATAAAATGGTGAAATTATTGCTATCAAAAATTAATTTTGACCTAGGTTTGAAGTACCTTTTTAATTCTTTAATTCAGATGCATGATTATATTTTTACTGGAATAAGCTCGAGTATATGCAGCAACTTCTTTAAATAGAGCAATTATGACAAAAAATGGTCATTATATGCATTTTGACTACGCTGAACTGAAAATATCCCCAAATTTTTTTTTAAAAAATCGTTCTCTCTAATAAAACTTTTGCGGGCAATAATTGAAAAATAAAGTACAGCATACTTGGGTCTTGGTTTATAAATATGTGTATTTATACATACCTTATTGATAGGCCAAGAAAGGCAATAAGGTACATACACTGGACAAAACTGCTAACGCACCACCCAAGAGAATTAATGTTTTAAGTTTAAAAACCAGTTTGTGATGTATTTGGTATATAAATATGTTACAATAGTAAAAAATGAGGCATATTAATGTCAACCCTTATAAATTACTTCAATGTTCACTGAAGTGTGACCAATTCAAAGAAAATAATAAATTCCTTTCTATTCAATTTTCGACGAGAAAAAAATTAATTTTTTCTTCGTGTTTGTGTTCTTTACATTCGTACTAATTAAAAACTCAGAAAAAAGTTACACTGAATGCGCCGTTTGACGCTAGAGGAGCGTGCTAAGCAGATATCATGGCGTCTGAGGGGGTTCCTTTACAGAAATCTATAAAAAATGAAAACAATACAAAGCTCATCAATTCCACTCATGCAAAATGTTGCAAATAGATTAGCAAATAGATTAGCAAACATAAAAATGTTTAAGATAGTTGGCCACTGCATTAAGTTCGCAGCATACAATAAGTTGAAAATTGTTCTACAAAACTTGGTCAACCGGAAGTTGGGTGGATTTGGTATGGACGCTAAGGTACCGGGTGATTACTAGGTGATATGCGAGTCAATTACAGTGTCTTATTTGATTTATAAATGGGGGAATACTCATGTGGCAACCTCACAGACCACCTTTAGTGATCAAGAATTTCATATCTGGGCACAAATGGTGCGCAGAGCACATCTGGAAATTGGTTTTTGGACAAGAAGGTCATTCTAGGATCTTTTCATGATACCAAGACTTTTGTCAATCCCACTGTTTTGGAAATAATGACATATTATATACATTAGTACCGATCTGGCAAATATTCAATTCACAAATAAAAATTAACAAGGGGTGCGTTAGCAATTTTGTTTAGTGTACATATTCATAGACCAAGACCCAAGTACATGTACATGTGATAGACACAATAACATCTTGCAACATACATCATTTTATAAGCCAATCCCCGACACAATAATATTTTGCAGCATACAGCATGCATCTTTCATAAGGTTGAACGTCGACTGACCAGACATTGTTAGGCTATCATTTTTTATATCTTGAATTGAATATGGATTTTTTTCGTTGACCCATGCATGAAAAAGAGCACTTGGCGATATGATGTAACTGGTTGATAGGGGAAGCTCACTCCTCCATTATCCCTATACTACCTCTGATGTTTTAGAGGTTCGTCTTTGCTCTGATCACAGGTGGTACTGTTTCAAAAGACTTCAGTACTGATAAATGGTCGTTATCTTTATATATTTCATTTTCTGAAATCTCGAGTTTATGTTAAATACTAATGTTCAAATTAATTTAGTTTATTTCATTTTTCAAAAGAATTTTAAAAAATAAATTAGAAGTCAGATAATAAACTTATTTTTCATGTTTTTCGTCAGATGTTCTGATGTAATTCATGTAATTATTGTGCTTTAAAGATCTACATATCTAGCAATCTTTATATTGCAAGTAGCACGTGACTTTGATGCTGGAAAAGAAGTCAGTTGTTTTATAGTCTTTAGGAGCCAAAGTGCTTCTAGTTGTTGTCAATCCAAAGCAATCAATGCAAAACACTAGACAAATGGAGAAAAAGAAAAAGAATTTTGATTATTAAAACAATTTGAATTAAAAGATATCAGTATTATTCTTTGGTTTAATACATGAAACATATAAGGATAACGAACAGTGTTCAAGATCAAAAGTCCATAAAACAATACAAAACAGGAGCAGAGCAATCACGGACCTCCAAAACATCAGAGGTGGGATCAAGTGCCATGGAGGAGTGAGCATCCCCTGCAGACCGGCCACACCCGCCGCGTGCTCCTTGTCATGATCGGGAAATAGCAGAAAAATCCGTCGTCAATTCAGTTACAATTAGTATGAAAAACGTCAGTCAGCATTCGACTGAATGATAAATTGTATTGGCCGACAAGGTTAAATTAATAAATTTTATCTATATCAAGGATGTACGAAACATGCAACCTCTGCGGGAAAAGCCCAGTGTGCGACGGAAAAAACTGGAGTTATGAACCTTCCACAAAGGTGTATATCCTGTCTTGCAATAGCGTCTACAAATGATTTCTCGTTTTCTAACCTTCTGAGGGATTGTGTTGTGACAACTCAAGGAGAAGTCAATCTTCCTGGACTCGTGGTTCTAAGCAAACGACCAATGCTTAACCCTATAGTAAAATATTTTTTGCCATCTACAAAGAAGACAGCTTACAGAGGATATATACACTTCCAGGTAACTCCAATTATCTTTTTGAAAAGAATTACAGAAAAGAAGATAAGTGAACTTCCATTTTGAAAAAAAAGTTCACTTTTTTGTCTTTTGATCAGAATAATAGGAAAAATATTCTTTAGAGTGAATTTTTTTTCCTGTTGGTTAATATACATGGTCATACAGCTTATAAGTTATTTTATGATCATCTCCGAGGTGTTTTATAAAAAATATTCTATGCATTCCAAGTAAAATTTAACAGTAAACCACGTCACATTAACAGAAATTTTATAACACGCTTAGTAAAATGCTAGGGAAAATATTATCCTTTGTAGATATGTACAAATTTTGCATCTCGTACATGTATCAGTTGAATTCATTCACAGATTAACTTAGTATGGGTGTTTACTTATGCCGCCCACTAAATACTAGTATTGTGCATTTAACACTCAGGAAGTGACATGTCCTACCAGTTTATGTCATTCCTGTTACCAAAAAGAAAATGTTAAAATAAAAGTTATCTCACTTTCCTAGGAATTTTTTTCACGATCCTCAATATATCATCATTTTCTGTTGTCTCAAGTTTATGAGCGCCATGATTTAAAAGTGAATAAAGAAAGGGTTCAAAGGTCGATAAGTTTGTCTAATTGGTAGTGTATAATGAAAATATGTCCTATCTGTTACCTTCATAATATGCAAGTACTCTTTAAATTGTTTATTTTGCTAGAACAATTAGATGAACTAAGTAACAAAGAAATGGTTTCAATGTCTAGATGATGCATAAAGAGTACATTTTACTAAATAACGGGTGATTTATATGAGAAACGTCCATCCTGTTACTGTCATTCCTGCTACCATTAACATGGTAACAGTAAGGAAAACTGCACTTAATACCTTGAGTTTTAACAATAAAAACAATTACTTTTATTTTTCTAAGTAATAAAAGTGTAATAACACATGTTTAAAAACTTCGTTAATCATATTGAAATACGTTTGTGCTTCAGATAGTGCTATTATAACTTAAAGATGTACTCTTTTAACAGAATGGACAGAAATTTGTAACAGGATGGACAAATTATCCTGGTATATATATACCTATTTAAGTTTTATCATTTGTTTTTCTTAAAATTATGAAAAATTCTTAGTTTTGCAACAGCATAGAGTACCTTTAATAAACAAGAAATGAAGTGATAAATATTTTAATAGCTCTTTACAATTAAATTTCATAACAGGATGGACATAAATGTCTTTCATTGTCTCGAATTTGCCAGATTTGACAAAATCATGTTTTTATTCTACATTTCTTTCTCTTTTCTTAACCAATAAAGTTAGAAAAAGTCAATTTTTATTTAAATTGTAGATTTCATTGTCCATCCTGTTACACTGTTTTGTCCATCCTGTTACTGTTTTGTCCTTCCTGTTACCCGAGTCCTTACTGTTACCAGTATATTTTCCTAGTTTTAATTGCTTTGGCAGAGCACCTGTTTAAATAACTTTCTGTAATTGTTTATTCTAATCACAAAAATAATTTACAAGAATTTTTTTTCAACTATAGTATATAAACATTCCGCAATAAGGTTTTTCATGAAGAGAAACCCGTGGATTTTGCTTATGCTTGGTATATGGTAGTTTGACATGCTTTTAAACGCTCGTATATTAGATGAACGTCAAACATCTTATCATTCAATGATTTTTTTTTTCATTTTTTAACAATATACAAAAGATTATTAGATGAAAATTTTGAAATAGAGTTTTACAGCTCTTTTTATGAAAGTAAAAGGAAGGACATTAAAGTTTAAATGACTAAGATAAAATGTCAATATTTTTTAAAAGAAATATTTTCCTTTCTGCAATGCAGTGGATTTTAGTAGTTTATTACTGTGTTATTCAAATAAAGTTGAAAAAAGCATAGTAAAACCACTTTCATTTTTCAAACAATTGTCATTCAAAAAATGAACTTATTTTGAAAATTTATTATGGCCATTATGGACTTCCCTCGTCGGACGGTCATTAAAATTGTATAACTATAGGTACTAAGATGCCTAGCATTGAAGATCATTTAGTTACCAAGTACCTTAAGCTATGAATAACTTTTAAAACCCTTGAAAAAGAACTACATGTAATCAGATACATGTTATATGGATGTTTACAATCGGTGAGGTTTTTAAGTTAATTGTCAAAAGCGGGAAGTTTATCAGATACTTAAGTGTAAAAATATTTTTATCACAATTCTTTTTCATATATGATTATCTTAGTGAAATCATTTCCAAAGACCACAATACAAAACACATATATATATTAGTTACCTTCTTTCGTGCACCACATTTTTTGCTTATTAATTATCCTTACTAAGGAAACGTTGTAAAAAGAAAATTCAATACATATTTTACAATTTTAAACATTACCACATCCTGCTTGGGGTTTGAATCCAAGGCTAAAGGGGGCATTAATTTAACAATTCTGAGAAATTACACGCTGATCTTATTATTCAAACAGTTTTTGTCTGTAATTGCTAGGTCAGTGAGTAAAGAAAATGTTCTGAACATGATAAATTATTTTATTTATACATGTATATTACCAACTTAGTCCCTCATTAGTTTAAGGCACATTTTATATAGTCATAGAAAATTGATTCAACTATCAAGTTAAATGTTTTTTTTCATTTCTAAATTTTATGGCTGTACACAAGTCTGAAGAGCCTGCTTTTCTAAAGTAAAGCAAGCTGTTGACGAACAAGATGATGAAACAATTTGAAAGATATAAACAATGATTATATCCTGTAAATGCAACATTTTATAAGTTCTATGATCGACAAAATGACAATGTTAGAAATACAATATCATTAAGTCGAATGTTGATTGGAGTTTTAATTTTTTTAGGTTATTCATACACTGAATTGCCTGAGGCTCTTCCGTTTACCCAACCATGAAAAATAGTTGAATATATTTATTTTCCAAAAGAGCAATTAAGAGTTTAATAAGATTTATACATTGTCCATAAGTTCTTTAGTTCTAATCTGTTCCCCCCAATCTTTTACACTGACAGCGGCTGACATTTTCTAAAATCTAAACAGAACACCCGTAAGGAGAATTTAAAAATGTACAAGAAAGGAAGAATTGTATTTAGATATAGAAATATTGTTTAAATCGATTCTGTAAGACGTGTATCATTAAAAGATTTCTTTAAAATGATCTTACACTAATTTTGTCTCTATATACAATAAAAAATGCTTTTAAAAATGTTTTTAACCATTTATACCCGTGTCGTACCTTTTATTTCTGTCATTGTACATGAAATGTTTCATTGTTTGCTTATTTAATTTTGTACATCTGTTAATTTCAATTGAATGATTTCTATTACTTGTATTTGACCCTTGATGCTTGTCAATTTCACATGAAATTCTTTCATCAATTTAACATTAAATGCTTTCTTCAAGTCCACATGAAATGCTGACCTATCAATTTTACATGAAATGCTTCCATCTTGTATGTCTACCGATTCCACATGTAAAGCTTTTTTACTTGTGTTTCATTTTAGGTCACTTCCACATGAAACGCTTTTTCTTTGTAATCTACCTTTCATTCTGTAAATTTCAATACTGTAACAGTTCCTCTCCTTTTCAATTACTTTATCTTTTTTATGAAATGCCTTCAGTTACTAGTACTATATGATTATTTACCTTTCATCTCTGTCGATTTTACATGCTTGTTTCCTTTAATTTCATCTTGCATGTTGGTCAGTTTCCTTTCCTGTATCTTACGTATACCTTTGCATGTATTACCATGATATGTTTTTCTTCACTTATATTCCACCTTGTATGTCTGTCTGTTCCCATGAAAGCTTTCTTTTACTCATATTTCAACTTAAATCTTTAAATTCCCATTTCAAAAAGATAAACTGAAATAATTTGAAAAGAATAATGTCTAGATTATAAGGTATGTATAAATAACTGGTCATGTGTTTTAAGCAACAATTAACAAAACAAATAATTTTTTTTTCAGGATGAAAAAGTCGGTGACATAGCTTGTACGCATTTAACACCGTTACTGGGACCCATATACATTGAACGTAAGAACATTTATTTTTAATTAATACATTTATTTATTTTTCTTTTTATCTATAATCTATCTACATTTTTTCTTCTTCAAATGGAATATTTAAATTAAGATACGCACAGCAGCATGCTGAGCTGATTTTTGGATTCAGAATGCAAAGCATCTTCGCTGACCAAGGGTTTCGGATATCTACTCAATTTATAAACGTTCATAAGGAAAAACTCTTGGCTAGCGAAGACAAATGCAAAGCAATTCAAATAAAACAGTTTATAAGGCAATTACCATGCAAGTAACACCATTGTAATAAGTACATTACTTTACTAATAATAAATTACAGAAACAAATACTAGTATTAAACTGCAATTTAAAAAGTTTATTTGAAGAAATATTGTCATATTATGCTAGTACTTAATCGATTTATTTGTTCTTATTAATCGATTATGCATTTATTGCCTGTGAACTTTGCTTTGTGTTTATTCTATTATTATAGCAAACCTGCAGGGAATCTTCGAGGGTTATGCAGATCAGAACTTTTTTGAGACGATCACATTAGATTATGATTTGTCGTCATCATTACGTGTTGTAATAATGGGAGATCTAAACTGTGGTCCGGGAATTCCTGAAAAGAATATTGAAGAGGAATGTGAAAGTATGTTTACTAGTATTAATTATCAACAGGTCAAGTTATCTTGAACATTAAATTTTGTTTGATATATTAACACTTAAGAGTAAAGTTAACTTTTAAAAGCTTGATTCTGTTTTAGAAGGCATGAAATCTAAAGGGAAAAAAAATAAATAAAAACGGTACTGGTATCTTATATAAATTTCGTTTGTTGTAGAATCATACTACCACTTTACATTAGCTGGCTACACGAGTCCTTACGTCGAGCGTGTAGGACTATGTACATACTGTAAGGATAATGCCTTAGCACTGACGCAGTACGATAAGACAGATCTAAGTATTAACAACAACATCATAGATCACATATTTGTTCGCGGCGTCTCTGTGGTCTTTATACAGGTTAGTCATATTGGTTATAATGTGCATGTGTTTTAAGGTAATTAATCATTGTTATGAATTTGAATTGTTGTATTTTTAAGTGTCTCTCTATATGGGAAGCCACAAAAGCAAAACATATATTTTTAGCAATTCTCAGAATTTTGTTTGAAATCGTCTTTGATGGTTACTAGAGTATTATGTGTTGCCTCACGCTTAGACCAAGTCTACATATTTTATGGTTGGTTGAGAAATGTTTTAATAGATGTCCCTTAGATGCATAGGAGGGAGGAGAGTATTTATATATAAGATATTTAAGTTTTATTTATGGTGAACATACTTAGCACATCCTTGGGACCTATAAGCCCTGGAGACAAAGATTTGGTAAATTGGTGTTGCCATCAATCATACTGTTTATTGCTTTAGTCAGTCTTGCTTTAGTAAAGATATAATGAAAATCTTCAAGGTATTCTAAATAATGATTATTCAATACTAAACTTACCTTGCTCCATCCTGAGTCCTGAGCTAGGGGACTTGGAACAACACAATTTAAAAAGGACTAACTGCTCACTATAGACATACGAACATCTTCCAGCTAGATTTCTTTACTGGATATGCAGAAGAGAAGGCACTTGAAGGTCAAATGGATTATCCAAGTTATGACCAAGCTATTCAGTGACTGTTGCCTGACACACTGGAAAAATGGGACATAAAATTTACAATTCATGGAGAAGTAAAGGTCTAGCTGCTCATTATAATCATTCCATTTTTTGTTCGATTGGTCTGATATTTTTTTCAATACTTATGTGATAATGTCACTAATCTAGCCCAATACCAGTATGATAACGTTTAAAATTTTGACAGAGGAATTAAATAAAATGTGAAGAAAATAAACAGCAATCAAACTCAAAAGGCTATCAAAATAATGCAATTTGTACGAGTAAGCAGGGTAATAACAAACCTATAAAAACACCAGATGGAATACTTGTCATGATCGGAAAAATGGAAGAATCCTTAGACAATTTAGTGTGAAAATAATGGTTTAAAAATTTGAATGAGAAGCAGCAATATTTGTATTTGATAACAAGGCCTTTCTGTCGACCATAGAATTTGCGAAATATCCACCTTAAACAGGAATGTTGATATCCTTGTACCATCAACTTATTTTTCGATAACTGCCCTGTTTTAGAAAATTCAACTTTATCTTGTTTTTGCATATCGAACCAACTTTAAGATAATACCTGCATATGCAAATGATAATGGTATATTTCTTCATTAAAAAAAAAAGAATGACAATGCTAGTGTGGTGAGGTTACCATTTTATTGTATTTTCTTTAAAAGTATCCAAAAATTAACCTGACATTTAGACTCTGTGGTGTCTTTAAATTCGAGTTCAAAGGGTTATTATTTCGAATAAACTTATCAATGCATTATGCTTGCCTGATAAATGACCATAAGTTTTTTTAAAGTTATTTTTTTTTTAGAAAATTACAGGGCAGCGGGTCCTCATAATAATCACAATTTATTGTAGCCCATTGAAACAATACATACCTACCAATCTAACTAGTAAGAAATTGGTTCAATCTTTCATATAAGAAGAAAAAAAATTTAAAAAAAAAATTATGGACGGCGCATAATGACTGTTCAAAGGGAACAAACAGTAATTGTCATATTATAAACTGGGGTGACCTAAAAAGCAATGTAAATTTAGGACAATTATAAATTCAAAGATTTGATTGTAAACGTCATCAAGAGAAACAATGTAATTATATTTCAATATTTGATTTTACAGCGAGTCCTGACAGAATACGTACCCAGTCTACCTTATACTCCGTCGGATCATTATGGTGTACAGGCAACTGTGGTGGACAAAGGAAACCATCTAAAGGTGGATGTTAGATACAAAGAAGCTAATTGAAGAATTTATAAATGGCACTTACTAAGAGTAAAATTATTAGATAATTTTGTAAATCACATGTAGAGTATATATTACATTTACAGATTGTCAAATACACTAGTATATCTCCTTACTGTATGCTGTTGACATGAACTCGAGTTAAAATTAGTATTTTAAATAAAAAATGGAGGGGTATTGAAATTTATCAAGTCCCTTCCTTTCTTCTTTTTTTCAAAAGAAAAAAGCAAGGCTAATTTTACTTGACATATGACATGTGTATTTAAAATTTCAAAATGCAATGTTCAAGTTATCATAATTTTGATTGGACACTTTTCAACGTCACATAATACCTGATGAAGATTGTACCCATTGCCCACCAATGGCAGTGTTGGCTGGTACAGTTGGAGACCATTGATCTTACTTCTGATGTATGAAACAACGCTGGATTTGCGAACCCATTGGGCACTGACACAAAACCCCTCTACTTTAACTCTTAAGATCAAACTCTAAGTCATTTGTTCATTAATACCCTGTGGGCTACAAGAAGCTCCTCGGGATTTTGTTCTCCGTACAAACAATCAAATAGTGTCACAAAGTCCAATGGCAATGATTACTAGTATTCATTCAATATGCTAACAAACTACTAGTAACCTCAAGTTATATTTTTTTTTACTTCAAAAGTGAAACCATTTGTAATCTGAATTTGTACCCAAAAGGAAGGGGTGAAATTGTACAATTTTAGTAAGTAATGACTGTTCCATGTACTGTGTGATGATTTCTCCGAACCATCACGAAGGAATGAGAGAGGGACTGCAAATGTTTTGTAATCTGCCTTATAAACCGTTCGTAATACATCAGATACTATATTCGAAAAGGATTTGTTCATTTTGATGCCTTTAAAAGTAGACAGACACAAATAAATATGTATTTTCTTAAACAGCTTGTTTTTTAATTTATAACATTTCACAATCCAAACAATTCTTTTTTCAGTTCTTGTTGGTGCCGTGGCCAGAATGGATCACGTGATGTAAATGACATCCAAACCAATGTCTCAGAACAATATCTGTGCCAAACAAAATCATGAAAATGTTTGAATTTATTGTTTTTGCCTGTACATGTACATATGTAAAATAATCAGTGAAAATAACAATGAGCTGTCACAGTGATACAACATTTTTACTAGACAATTAACATGATCAAGTAATTTTATTATTTATTTTCTAAGAAATCCTCTCTGAACTGGTTCAGAATACTACATGTAGACTTTGATACTGCCATAAGATAGTAACAACCTCACGTAGGCGTTTGCCTCTAAATGTACTTAACTTTCATATTTTGTTAACAAGGGAAGAAGCAACTTTATACTTTAAAAAAGTCGGTTTTCGACCCCTAGCAGGTATAAGAATCAAAATCCGGAAAGCTTTATGCAAAATTACAGGCCACTCCTATACTTCTCCCAAAATATAACGGGAAAATCTAAGAGTATTTCAGGGAATCAGATTTTCGAAAAATGAATATTATCCTTGACTCCCAAACGCCACTAGGGTGAAATCAAAATTCCAGAACCATATTGCACATCTACGGGACACCAATAGTTACTGTAGATCACGTAATTTTCACCAGATATTCATTCTTTATTAGCAAGACACACTTTTTACGAATTGTGGTTATTGCTTCATATAATCGTTAGGAATACTAATTAATATGAGAGGTAATGAAATTTTCGTGAGCACACTATCTCGCGTAAATACAGGAAAATAAGTTCCCGTGCATAAAAAGTGAGTTACAGTATCATATGGGTACCAGTTGCGTCCTGTTATTAGCAGACCTTTTTTATATTCATATGAAGCAGAATTTGTCCAAAATCTCATACGTAAAAGAAGAAAACGCTGGTTGTGGCCTTCAAAACGACATTTAGATATTGCCTATTAACAATGGTTATTTCCATTCTTTTGTCGATATGATATATCCCAGTGAGCTTGAAATAAAAGATACCACAGAGTCTGAAACATCTGTTTCGTATCTAGATATTCTACTTGAGAAAGACGTAAATGATAATCTAACAATGAAGCATTATAACAAACGAGATTATTTAACTTTTCATTCAATATACAAGATCACACTAAATGTCGATGGTTGTTTCCCAATCATGAGAAGAAGCACACGGTGGGTGTGATCGGTCGGTAGTGGATGTTCACTCCTTCACGGCACATTATCCCATGCAACTTTGATGTTTTGGAGGTCCATATTTGCTATGCTCTTATTCTGTATTGTTTCATGGAATTTTGAGCTTGAATGCTGTTCGTTTTCTCAAATATATTTCATTCTATAAAAAAAATTAGACACAACAAAAATGTAAGAGAAGTTCAAACAACAAACATTTAGTTGAAAAACAGTCAATTTTACCCCCTATTGGTGCAAAAGGTGAAAATAGAATGACTTATTGCACATTACAAGGCATTATCATATTACTATCCAAAATAATCTGCTGCTTCTTTCTGTGAGAAAAAAACCTTAAAATAAAAAGAAATGTCGCTTAATATCAAAACATCAAAAAATGACATTAAGGTTTTTCCCCCGTAATTCAAAACTGATACATGTAAAAGTATTTCCTTCTCTGTGTTAATATTTATATGATTTTAAAATGTTTGTAATTAAGAAAGTATTTATCAACTAGTGTCACTATATTGTTCATCATATTGGTGCCTTATAAATTAAATCACACAAGTAAAGGTTGACGTACTTTTATTTAAGCAAGAACAACCTCTACACTAATATTTTAACTAAGAATAACCTCTAAACTTATATTTTCAAGTTTTCCAAAAAAATGAATATAATCTATAGACTTTGAAAAGAAGGTTTCGTTGACCGTAAATAAGGATGGAAAATTGTTCAAAGAGATACAATCTTCGGGTACACAAGTACACTGTCTACACTGTCGTTTATTTGTTAAATTTATGAATGACAGACTTAACATATTTAACGTACTGTTAGCCTTAGTACAGTAAAATATCGAGTGTCCTTTTGTTGTAATTTTCTTTCTAATTCGTTACTAGAATGGAACCACAGGAATTTTAGAACAATAACTCAATAAACTTAACAAGTTTGTATTGCAATTATCTTTCTAACTCTTACTAGAATTTAACCTTTGGAATTTTGAAACGATAACTCAATTAAAAAAAATAACTCGATAAAAGAAAAAGTTTTATTTCTTTATCTACATTTTTCGCCATTTTTTGTGATTCATATTAGGAAGAAAAGGAGTACACTAAAAGAAGAATGTCCCTTTTCGCAAAAAGATGACGTTTTAAGAATGTCTTTGGAATGTTTAGTTTTCACTTTTTTTGTATTTTTACAACCAAGTGATAATTCGATCATTTCTTTGGAAATCTAACTATTTAAGCTTATCAATAATTACCTTTTTTCGGTTTCGAATTTAGAGTATATATAAAGGTGCAAAGAAATATTAATTGCATGTAACAACGCTTTAATTATATTGAAGGATGAAGTTGGGTAAGGATTTAGTATTATCACTTATTTCATATACATGTGTGTATATTAGTTGTCTTTAAGCCGCATTGTTTCTTACATAACAGCTTTAATTTAGAATGAAAAGAAATATATTTTTTTAAGTAAAATCTCAGTAACAAGTTTATAAATAATATAATAAACATAGCTATAATAAATCAAATTTATAACGTTTGTACTTTATCGCTTCTTTTTAAAATATCTATGGTTAAAAACATGAATTGAAAGAATTTATAGAGTAGATAGTTCGATCCTTCATAAAAACAGTTAAGTAATTAATTGAAAATGCTCATAGAAATATCTCTGAATTAATAACGTAAAGTATATATATCACTACACAAAAAAGAAAGTCATTACAGGTAATCATATTCTGTATTGAAAATCATCAAATCTCCAATATATGTTCAGGGAAAGCAAATAGATTAAACATCTAATTAAAAAATTGTTCAGCAAATAAAATTTAGGTGAAAAAAACTATTGGTAACCAACCATTCAGAGAAATTTGCTTGTTTTTAATTCTTATTTGGTATTGTAGCGCTTCTATAAAACTTAGTGTAAAAAGCTTGTGCTATCATTGCAAGATATCACAGATCAATTCTAATTTTAAATCATGATAATAAGAATTTGCATCTAAGGTTAGATAAAAAAAAATCCATTTCTCTAAACATGTATTTCTTTGATTTTTAAGGGAACCAATGACTCTTTACAATACCCTTTCCAAGACTTCAAGGAACTTTTTAATTATATTTAAATACATGTACTTTAAATGAAAATTGTTTCCTGAAAAGTTCTCAGTTTCAAGCTCCATGTTGAGACTTGGTGCATGGCAGCCTCGTATCATTTCGGGGCGTAATGGGCGATATAAAAAAAAATCAAAATAAATGCAATTTTCTCTTCTTTAGAAATTTCCATTATTGCAATGACCAGTGAACCTTTATTTAAACTATTGAATTTATATCCCGCTGCATGGCTTTATGTTTCTGTTTTCATTGCGAAACTTAGTGAGTGATTGCAATTCAAAAAACATTTGTTTACTGCTGGCCATTAAAAATCGAATTTCATAAATTACATGTATATACCGATATATTAATTCATGACACATTGGTCCAAGGATTTAGCCCCAGATCGTCTTGGAATAATCGGACAAAGCCGGTGAAATCATGAAGCTCAGATACTCGGATGAACATCTTATGGCCAAAATCCTCTTGTCTTTTATATGGCTTCTCGTTTTTGACAGAAAACCACACAGTTTATTGATATCATTTTTAGTTACTAACAGGTCAAACATTACAAAACATTACCATTATGAAAAAAATTAGTTGCGGTTCAGCTCTTCCCAGGGAACTAAAATGAAAAATGGGGCTGGTATAATATAAATTCATTTCCTCTGCTTTTTTTTTTTTTGGTTTGTAAATTTCAGGATTAGAGTTAGGGTAAGTAAATTAAAACAGTTATAAAGTTTGTAAGATTGTCGGCTGAACATTCGACGGAAATGGTAGACCTTGTGAAATGAATTTTATCAAGTATTTCTAGATTGCCAAGTACTAGTATTTTACGAAATACTAAAAAAATGTCACTTATAAGCCTAATCATTTGCTATTTCATGCATCATTGTAACAAAATTTGATGATAGTTAGTAGTAATCAATAGTTCATTACAAAAAGTGAGCAGGGAAATCACGGACCTCAAAAATATCAGAGGTGGAATGGAGAAGTAGGCTTCCCTGTCGATCTGTTACATCCATCTTATCTCTTTGACGTCTTTGTCATGATCTGGTAATCGGATAAAAAGTGTGAAATACTAGCATGTCATTTTGCATTAGAAATGCCAGGCGATATTTGAATTAAACAAATTAAGTTGACTTTAAACGAGACTTCAGCGTGATACCTTTGTTTCATTCACTTTTTGTTAATAGCTTGTCTTTTGGAATCAGATCCTGCTCCTACCAAAAATGACATAATTCAACATATTTTATTGTCAAACAAGCTGACTTGTATAATTTCATAATTGTGGTTGACTTATAGTATTCATATAAACCACGACCCATCTTTTTGGCCGTTACAAAAGACTTTTTTCTTAATCTGAGTTCAAAGGGATTTTGAATTAACTTTTAAAAAAAATGTTAATCAATTATTGAACATCTTTGGTATATTTGAATGTCGAATTGCAGGTCGTTGCGAGAGACTTTCTTTTCAGATAGACAGAAACAAATGTGTCTGTTACGGGTCACAACTAGTATTTTTTCCAAAGGTGGATAAATGTATACATGTATATCTCATTAGAATGTCTAACAGTATAAGAGCACGTACATGAACTTTTCAGTTATCGCCATCCACGTTGTGTTGTCCCTGTCTCTACACACAGATGGGTCTATTGCATGCAATGGTCGGCTGAGAAGCTACCAGTTTTGTACTGATGTATGCCATCCATGTTCAGGGTCTTTGATAGAAGGTTCTGGTTTTGCTCTAGTTCGACAAAACTTTCGGAATACCCTAAACAATCTCAGAAGTTCACTCTGGGAAATAATCGAGCAGCTTACCAATTCCAAACGAGAATACGTAAGAACATTTTAATTT